GCAGCACCGCGTGGTCGTTTCAGAGCGCGCATTCAGTTCCATTCCGGTTGCCGTGCGAACCACGCGTGTTCATCGCGACTAGTTTTATTTCTCCCTATTATAAATTGATCGTAAATCGACTTATATTTAATAAGCAATCGACGACATTTATTAGAATTGCGCGTGAACGGAATTTCGCCAGATAATAAGCACGTCGGCCGTCGGAGATTATTTTTCGCGTGTGGATTATACTGCACTCGTGTTGGCCTGCATGTGCACGGCGTACATGCCGTCGGATGTCGGATATCGCCCACAATAACTTTGATTTATGTTTAATTCGAATAAGTAGACAACTGATGTGCCCAGAGAGAAGAAGATTACACTTACAACGGCACTGGAGTTCCGAATATTCATCGCAGAAGAGCTGCAAATGCGCATATTTTAAGGCAAGTCTTCTCGTCTCTGCGCCATCATTTAATAATTGTCGTTACTTTTTCTATATAAAATATGTTTGCATTTGGAGATGTCACTGTAAAATAAAATTTACGGTGTACCACAACTCATTCATATTTGTTTTGGTATCCTCCTTTGCCAGCTGTTTTCAGTATATGAGCGGACCACACATTCAATATAGATATTATACGCGTAAGCAAGTGCAACATATCTGATACTCTGTGTTGTTGCTTTAAAAAAGTTGATAACAGTAGAAACATAAATAGAAGAATCAAATATTAATGATAAAAGCACCCCGGTGGTCGAGTGGAGACGTGCACCTGCTAGCATGCTTGGAAGTAGACGCGGATCGAATCTCAGGTATAGAAGGCATTTTTCTCAAATATAAAAAATATCAGGGTGCAATTGCTGCATATATGAATCTCGCAACGAAATATAAGAGTAAATTGAAAATACAAGTGAAGGCAATATGAGAAATAAGAGCAAGTGTGGAGGAGCGGAACAGAGAATTGAAGAAGAAGAAAGGAGCAGCAGAGAAGAGTAGAAGACAGAAGGAAGAGAACAGAGTAGAGAAGAGGAGGAGATAGAAAAAAAAAAGGAGAATAGGGTGACGAATCTTTAAATTTTTGGCACGTGTCGTTATAAGACAGTCTACGGTCGATCCTCCCAGAGGCCGCTTCTATGCCTTCGGCTATCGATCGCCCACCACTTCGGTTCGTCCATTGCCCCGGCCCATCCTACAGCTACGATGTCTCTGCGCTCATCCCCGAAATTATCAGGCATATCAACACTTTTATGGTGGGGGATCACCTCAAAGAGGGGGAACCTTTATAAGGATTAACTTGTCTTGTAAAATATTTCTAGTTTTAAGTCGCCTCCAAAGGGTGATGCTTAAAATATTCTTCTAGTTCTGACCTGTAGCTTAAGTGAAAGAAGGTACACAAATCATACAGGTTACCTTAACAATTTTTATAGAGGGGATCATCCCCTGAGAGAGGGAACTCTCTTAGAGACATGTACCTGGAATGATAGAAGGGGTACATTCAAAGCATAAGACATAATATTTCTTAACACTTCTTTATTATAATATTCATAAAATTCAAAACTAGAATACACAATTCTTACAAAATACATGTCGCCATTTTGAAACAAGTCTTACAACCAGTATACGCCGGTAAATACAGACAAGTACGACAGGAACCGAAAATTCACAAAGGAAAACACATAGCAGTAAACAAATGTTCCCCATCTTACGCAAAACAACTCTACAGGGTGTTAAAAACAATATTATTAAAAAATATATTCAAAGTTCAAGCAGGAAAACATATCTTCACGACTGTGGCTAATTGTATACAGGGTGTTACAAAAATAAAAGAATAGAATTTGTAGAAAAATTCACAGTACACGTAAAAAATATAAACCTTAGTATAAATTTCTGGAAAGTAACCGATATACAGGGTGTTGCAAAAAGAAAATCACAAAATTTTATAGGAAATTTCACAGTACAATTAAAAAACACATAAATCTTCAGCACGGTGGAAAATCTATATACAGGGTGTTGCAATAAGATAATATTTTAAAAGGAAAGGTACAAGTAGATAAACATATATCATAGTCACTTTTCGCGTGGACACGCAGAAAATCAATATACAGGGTGTCACACAAAAAAATAAAATCCAAAATTCCAGAAGATGTATTACCCGGAAACGAAAATGTGTCTATTTTCACTGGACGCTAGGGGACATTTAGATACAGGGTGATACAAAAAGAAAAACTATTCAAGAATGGTGTTAAGAGGGCCGGACAGAACATTCTATCTATAATAAAATACTAAGTTCTACCAAATAGTTCTACTAAATATCAGAAATTAAAAATGTTAACAATTTTCCAACTGGAAATAGAAGAACACTGCAGACAATTGACAACAGAACATTTAAAAAGAGACCCTAATTCTCCTGGATATCAAGGAACAGGGATGCGATTTTATTACAAACATAAAACACAAATACAAATTTAATTGTACATCATGTAGCACAATCGGCGACCAGCATGTAAATGCCGGCAGCAAGATCCGAGAACGCAGCCGTCGGCATGCGACCATCTCGAACTATTGAAAGATTTAACGCGATTAATGGCAAAATTCGTGAAGCAATCAATGGAAAAATGTAAATATGAATATATAATACAACTAATAAAATGATTCCGAACTTACAGTAAGACCGCGTTCGCGTGTTATACAATTCCTAGCGCAACAAGTACAAGTGCGTATACACACAATTATAAATATAACTCGCGTTACGGAATTTTCTCGCAATAAATTTCGATAAAGGCAGATACAGAATTAAATTCCGCATCTAATAAAATTATTCCGAACTTATAGTAAGACAGCGTTCGCGTGTTATAATAAAAAAAACTACAATTCCTAGCGCAACTAGTACAAGTGCGTATACACACAACTATCAATAAACTCGCGATACGGAATTTTCTCGCAATAAATTTCGATACAAGGAGATACAGAATTAAATTCCACATCTAATAAAATGATTCCGAACTTACAGTAAGACCGCGTTCGCGTGTTATACAATTCCTAGCGCAACAAGTACAAGTGCGTATACACACAATTATAAATATAACTCGCGTTACGGAATTTTCTCGCAATAAATTTCGATACAAGGAGATACAGAATTAAATTCCACATCTAATAAAATGATTCCGAACTTACAGTAAGACCGCGTTCGCTGTCGTTATAATAATAAAAAACTGCACAATTCCTAGCGCGGCTAATTTCAAGTGCGTATACACACAACTAATAATGTGAGTACGAATTTTCTCGCAATAAATTTCGATACAAGAAGGAGATACAAGATTAAGTTCACATCTAATGGAAATGATTCCAGAACTTACGGTAAGACCGCGTTCATGAAGTTATAATAAAAAATAACAATTCCTAGCGCAACGAGAATTTTCAAATTGGGTGCGTATACACACAATTATCAATATAACTCGCGTTACGGAATTTTCTCCTGCAATAGAAATTTCAGTAAAGGCAGATGCAAATTAAATTCCGCATCTAATAAAGAGTATTCCGAAGACTTACAGTAAGACCGCACGTTCGCGTGTTATATTAAAAACTACAATTCTAGCGCAACGAAAGGAAGGTACAAGTGCGGATACACACAACTATAACACAAATATAACTCGCGTTACGGAATTTTCTCTGAAATAAATTTCGATAAAGGCGAATACGAATTAAATTCCGCATCTAATATTATTCCAGTTTGCTAGTAAGACAGCGTTCGCGTGTTATAATAAAAAACTACAATTCCTAACGCAACTAGTACAAAGTGCGTATACACACAACTATCAATAAATACGCGATACGGAATTTTCTCACCATTGGACTTCGATAAAGGCAAATACAAATTCATCCGCATCTAATAAATTATTCCGAACTTATAGTAAGCCGCGTTCTGTGTTATAATAAAAACTACAATTCCTAGCGCAACGAGTACAAGGGCGGATACACAACTATCAATATAACTCGCGTTGCAAGTTGCCTGCCTCGCTATACATTTTGATAAAGGCAGATACAGAATTAAATTTCGCATCTAATACGAAATTATTCCGAACCCCACAGTAAGACCGCGTTCGCGAGTTATATTAAAGAAAAACTACGAATTCTAGCGCAATAAGTACCAAATTCGTATACGCACAACTATCCAATATAACTCGCGATACGGGTTTTCTCGCAATAAATTTCGATAAGGGCAGATACAAGAATAAATTCCGCACCCTAATAAGTATTCCGAACTTATTGTTACATACCGCGTTAAGCGTGTTATAATAAAAACTACAATTCCTAGCGCAGCAGGGTACAGGTGCGTATACGCACAACTATCAATATGACTCAGCGTTGCGGGATACTAAAACATACAAATATATATATGTTCTTCATAGGGTGGAAGTGAAAAAATACGAGAACATACCTTAGCGCAATATAAGATTTTCTTTTTGGAAATCCAGTATATGATGTAAGCAGATGTAATTATGCATATAGTAGCATCGATGAAAACACTAAATTGATTAGAGGCAACGCGAAGTTGATAGAGTATCCGACGGCCGACGGTACATCACACATACAGAGGTAAATCTACGTATGTTCAATCCGTGTTTAACGAACACCGAACATCACCGCACTGCACAGACGAACAGTACAACTATGAATATTATGCAATGAAACGAAGAAATATTGATAAACCTAATGGATCGCGAAGAGTGCACGCCCGGATCACCTGACGATGTAAATGAGACTAACACCATACGAAAGCCGACCGCGTGCTTCGACAATGAGGTGACGGTGCACAAGTTGAACGAGATAAGAAAAACTTGTTTGTATATAAACACTGATGTTGTTAGTATATTTCTAGTATGCATTGAATACTTATTACTTATTTTTACTACTGTACTATAAATTACAAGAAATTATATATCGGGAAAACCAATAAAAATTTTAATATCATATTTAAATAACACAAGTAATTCTGCAATAATTTGCATTTACATTTACATTACTTTAAATACTGTTTATTTTGTACAAGCCAGTAATAACAATACCTAGAACCATACTATATCTACCTAGAAACTATCCGAAAAAATTAAATATGTTATCTAATAGAGAATTTCGCAAGGATCTGCAAGCCATCCTTTAGATATTTAGACTTAGTGTTCACGCAATAACCACAATCAAAATAAGTAACTTAATTTTCCTTATGATATATTTTCGAACGCAAATTTTCTTGATTTGAATCTCCTAATTAGAATATCCCGTTGATAAATTTTATATTCCCCATTCAATTTCTGTTAAATTTCTCTATAGAAAGGACTAAAACAATTACCCAAAAAAGCAGAAAAGGAATAAACTAAATTACACACGACTGGTTTAATTATTTCACTTACCAGTGTACGAAACAACGCACATCCAAGGTATGTAGATACTGAAATCAAGAAAGAGTGATATTACTTATACGTATGTATCATTTCGTACATTTTTTAAATGCATCAGCGTTCCATGGAAACCCAGTCTTTGCGTTAAAATCCGGGTTTATAACGAAAATACGATTACACTACAATACTAACCGGGGGGAATATTATCACATAACAAAAATGTATTGCATAGGTACAAAATTTAGGAGGAACTAATTCTAATCAAGAATATATGCAATCACAGGATATGGTCGATTGGCGTCCGACGGCACACGCACAATCACACATAACTCACTAAATTAGTGGTTTCCGCGATTCCCCACGCTATAAATTATTCACAAAACACAAAACTCGTCTATTAACAGTAAATATAGGCGATGATCAATCATAACTTATCAAGAAAGGTCGCTCGCAACAAAAGCATGAGAAGCGTGCCGACATCGTATCGTATCGGATAATGCAAATCATAGGAAATATTGAAACAAAGAAAAAATGTACATTTCTAGGTGTAAGACCACGCGGTTAAAGTGAAACTCAGAATGTTATAGGTATAGGATAACATACGGATTGTTTCTTCAAAGGGTTAAAGTGAAGAAAAGCGAAAACATACCTTAGCGCAAAATAATTTTTTTTCTTTTGGTTATCCAGCATAAGATGTAAGCAGATGTAATTATGTATATAATAGAATAGATGAAAACACTAAACTGATTAGAGGCAACGCGAAGTTGATAGAGTATCCGACGGCCGACGGTACATCACACAAGCAGAGGTAAATCTACGTATGTTCAATCCGCGTTTAACGAACACTGCATATCACCGCACAGCACAGACGAACAGTGCAATTATGAATATAACGCAATGAACTGAAGAAATTTTGATAAACCTAAAGAATCGCGATGATGAAGTGCGCGTACGGATTAGCTGACGATACAAATGAGACTAACGCCGTATGCAAGCTAACCGAGTGGGCTGACAACGTGGTGACGGCACACAAGTTGAACGAGATAAGAAAAACTTGTTTGTCAATAAAGTTGTGCAGAAAACAAAAAAACCATGTGTGCAGTTCATACGCGGTAGAACTTCTACCGTAGAAGTGAAATCTGCAGAACACTGCACTGCGAGAGAATCAGACGAAAATAGAATCGGAAATGGGATCATTATTGGGTTTATTTATTTATGTACGGCTTGGCCGTCCGTATATAAAGTACTACTTTTTGGGTCTAAAAACAGTGGAAAAACGGGCGCTTTATAGGTGGAAGTAGAAAAAGTTTACGAGATATTCGCGATTGAATAAAATGGGCAAAAATTGAAAAATGTCACTTTTTAGCACTTTTAGTCGCGATTTACCACCTTTTACTGTAGGAAATATAATTATTTTAAATTTTTATCTGATAGAGAATTTTCCAGTCTTTCATAATCAGCAATTTGTTGGTTGCTGTGGCTTTTAGTTTAAGAGATATGAATTTTCAAAAATCGTCGAAAAAAAGTATCAAGCACCCCCCACTCGGCATTTTTTTCTTAAGAATGAAAATTTCATCTCTCAGATTTCCCTTTTAACTATCGTATCTGATAGAGATTGGTCCGTACATTAAGACGCTGCGATCAGATCTTAGTATCTCTTTTTAGTTTACGAGATATTCGCGTTTGAATAAAATGGGCAAAAGGAATTGAAAAATGTCACTTTTAGCACTTTTTAGTCACTTTCCCATACCTTTTACTGTAGGAAATATAATTATTTATATTTTTTATCTGATACAGAATTTTCAATCTATCATAATCAGTAATTTGTTGGTTACTGTGGCTTTTAGTTTAAGAGATATGAATTTTCAAAAATCGTCGAAAAAGTATCAAGCGCCTTTACCCCAGCAGCAATTTTTCTTAGAATGAAAATTTCATCTCAGATTTCCTCTTTAACTATGTATCATCTGATAGAGATTGGGTCCGTACATTAAGACGCTGCGATCAGATCTTAATTATCTCTTTTAGTTTACAGGGATATTCGCGTTTTGAATAAAATGGGCAAAAGGGTGAAAAATGTCTTTTTAGCACTTTTAGTTTGCGATTTATCTGCAACTTTACTAGGAAATATAATTATTTCAAATTTTTATCTGATAGAGATTTTCCAGTTTTTTCATAATCAGCAATTTGTTGGTTGCTGTGGCTTTTACTTTAAAGAGATATGAATTTTCAAAAATCGTCGAAAAAGTATCAAGCGCACCCCTTATCAATTTTCTTAAAGATGAAAATTTCATCTCTCAGATTTCCCCAACTATCGTATCTGATAGAGATTGGATTACGTACATTAAAGACGCTGCGATCCAGATCGCCAATTATCTCTTTTAGTTTACGAAGGATATTCGCGTTTACGAATAAAATAGGTAAAAGAATTGAAAAATGTCACTTTTTAGCACTTTTAGTCGCCATTTCCACCTGCTTTACTGTAGGAAATATAATTTATTTTATATTTTTATCTGATGCAAATTTTCCAAATCTATCATAATCATTAATTTGTTGGTTACTACTATGGCTTTTTAGTTTAAAGAGATATGAATTTTTCAAAAATCGTCGAATAAAAGTATCATACACCCCCCCTTAGCAATTTTCTTAGAATGAAATTTCATCCTCTCAGATTTTTCCTTTTAACTATCGTATCTGATAGAAGTTGGTCCGTACACATTAAGACGCTGCGATCAGATCTTAATTATCTCTTTTAGTTTACGAGATATTCGCGTTTGAATAAAATGGGCGAAATTGAAAAATATCACTTTTAGCACTTTTAGTCGCGATTTTCCACCTTTTACTGTAGGAAATATAATTATTTTATATTTTTATCTGATACAGAATTTTTCCAGTCTATCATAATCAGTAGGCTACGTTGGTTACTGTGGCTTTTAGTTTAAAGAGATATGAATTTTCAAAAATCGTCGAAAAAAGTATCCAAGCACTTATGGCAATTTTTTTCTTAAAGTAAGAATTTCATCTCTCAGATTTCCTCTTTAGCTTATCGTATCTGATAGAGATTGGTCCGTACATTAGACGCTGCGATCAGATCTTAATTATCTCTTTTAGTTTACGAGATATTCTGGCGTTTTGAATAAAATGGGCAAAAGAATTATGAAAATGTCACTTTTTAGCACTTTTAGTCGTCTATCTTACTACTTTACTGTAGGAAATATAATTATTTTTAAATTTTTATCTGATAGAGAAATTTTTCAGTTTTTCATAATCCAGCAATTTGTTGGTTGCTGTGGCTTTTTACTTTAAGATATGAATTTTCAAAAAATCGTCGAATAAAGTATCAAGCACCCCTTGGCAATTTTTTCTTAAGATGAAGAATTTTATCTCTCAGATTTTCTTTAACTATCGTATCTGATAGAATTGGTCCGTACATTAAGACGCTACGATCAGATCTTGAGTATCTCTTTTAGTTTACGAGATATTCGCGATTGAATAAAATTGGCAAAAAATGATGATAAATGTCACTTTTTAGCGCACAGTCGCATTTTCGACCTTTACTTTCCAGAATAATATAATTATTTTATATTTTTATCTGATACAGAAATTTTCAATCTATCATAATCGGTAATTTTGTTGGTTACTGTGGCTTTTAGTTTAGAGATATGAATTTTTCAAATTCGTCGAAGAAAAAGTATCAAGCACCCCCCTTAGCAATTTTCTTAAAATTAAAATTTCATCTCAGATTTCCCTTTTAACTATCCTATCTGATAGAGAATAGTTAAGTAGATTAAGACACTGCGATCAGATCCTATTTATCTCTTAGTTTACGAGATATTCGCGATTGAATAAAATGGGCAAAAATTGATAAATGTCACTTTTTAGCGCTTTGGTCGCATTTTTCGACCTTAACCTTTTACTTTAGAAATATAATTATTTATATTTTTTATCTGATACAAATTTTCAATCGTTCGTAATCAATAATTCGTTGGTAGCTATCGCTTTTAGTTTGAGATATTAATTATCAAAAATCGTCAGAAAAAGGTATCAAGCGCACCCCCCTTGGCAATTTTTTCTTAAGAATGAGAATTTCATCTCTCAGATTTCCCTTTTAACTATCCTATCTGATAAGAGAATGGTCCGTAGATTAAGACGCTGCGATCAGATCCCTATTTATCTCTTTTTAGTTTTACGAGATATTCGCGATTGAATAAAATGGGCAAAAATTGATGAAATGTCACTTTTTTAGCACTTTGAGTCGCATTTTCGACCTTAACACACTTTAGGAAATATATTAATTATTTTTATATTTTTATCCTGATAGAATTTTCCAATCGTTCATAATCAACAATTCGTTTGGTAGCTATCGCTTTTAGTTTAAGAGATATTATTAATTATCAAAATCGTCGAGAAAAAAGTATCAAACGCACCCCTTGGCAATTTGTTTTTTCTTAAAATTAAAATTTCATCTCCTCAAGATTTCCCTTTTAACTGTATCTATCTGATGAGAATAGTCCGTAGATTAAGACGCTGCGATCAGATCACTATTTATCTCTTTTAGTTTTACGGATATTCGCGATTGAATAAAATGGGCAAAAATTGATAAATGTCCTTTTTAGCACTTTTAGTCGCATTTTTCGACAGCACACTTTTAGGAAGTATGGTGGTATAATTTTTATCTGATACAGAATTTTCCAATCGTTCATAATCAACAATTCGTTGGTAGCTATCGCTTTTAGTTTAAAGAGATATTATCCAAAATCGTCGAAAAAAGTATCAAAGCACCCCCTTGGCAATTTTTTCTTAAATTAAAATTTCATCTCTCAGATTTCCCTTTAACTATCTATCTGATAGAGAATAGTCCGTAGATTAAAGACGCTGCGATCGGATCTATTTGTCTCTTTTAGTTTACGAGGATATTCGCGATTGAATAAAATGGGCAAAATTGATAAATGTCACTTTTTAGCACTTTTAGTCGCATTTTTTCGACCTTTACTTTAGGAAATATAATTATTTTATATTTTATCGATGCAATTTTTCCAATCGTTCATAATCGGCATAATTCGTTGGTAGCTTTATCAGCACTAGTTTAAGAGATATTAATTATCAAAAATCGTCGAAAAAAAGTATCAAGCACCCCCCCTTGGCAATTTTTTCTTAAGAATTAAAATTTCATCTCTCAGATTTCCCTTTTAACTATCCTATCTGATAGAGAATAGTCCGTAGATTAAGACTCAGCGATTCGTTCCTTTCTATCTCTTTTTGTTTGCGAGATATTTGCAATTGTAAAAAATCGTCAAAATTTGAAAAGTTTTTTGCACTTTTAATCACATTTTTCGCCCTTTTACCCATGAAAGATTTCTGTTTAGAATTCAAATACCCTTACCTTAATCCATTTGTTCGTATGATATCGCTGGGGTGGTATACGAGTAGACCCATCACTGTTCTAGTTCAGGAGATGATGCACAGTTCCCATATGATTTCTAAGGACGGCAACCAGGCAAGGTATGAAAAGACAAGAAAATGCTAAATTAAAACAAAGGAAATAATATGGAATTAAAATAGATAGCGAATTAAATATTCGTGGATACAATGCAACAAAAATACAAAATTTAAGTTGAAACGTTACCTGTATTAAAGACACACAGACGTAACTAGATCGCCAACCGACTGTATTTCACTCGAACACACTGTTCTTAAATAAGATGTAAAACGCGTTCTATAACATTCCATGATACTCGGTATACTCAATATAAAGAAACGTACGGATTAACAAAATTCGCGTGCGAATCAGCTGTCAACCGGATCAAAACTGTTCACAATCCACAGAACAAGTCTTGATCGTGTTGATTCTAAATTCCTAGAACATAGCGACGATAACCAATGATAAGATTACCTGCGACCTCGCCTGGAAATATTCTGCTCGTTGAGTGCAATACGCTAGTAAAGTATCTACCTTAGCGCCGCCTCGTGGCTTATTTCTTAAATAATGGTGAGAGATCACAGAGGCAGGTACCATATGTTATATATATATACTAGTTAACCGGGCAAAAACGTTGTTTTGCCATATAGGTATTTCCTGGTTCTAGAAAAATTTTGAGTATTTAACTACTTATTATAGGGTATTGTAGGAAGTATGGCAAAACTTGATTAACTGAACTAATAGTGCCAAAATACACTTAAAATGAATAATTTTATTATTATGAATAAAATGGTAATCTATAATATAAAAATATGAATCCATAAAGTGTTGTTAACCACTATGTAAAGCGTTACTTACTACACTTGATACGTATACCATAATGATGGCCAACTGTAGAGGGAGGGTGTGACAGAGTCTTATTGTGTGTGAGTGAAAAAGAGACCATTCAGTCTCATTCCTTCCGAGGCGGGATGAAAAAATTAAATTACCTGCAAAATGGCTTTAAAAATATAGGGTTGGTGATAAAAAAGTAAATATTTAGAGTTGTATGTATTTTTATTACCACATTATAATTTTAAGTGTATTTGGCACTATTAGTTCAGTTAATCAAAGTTTTTACATACTTACACACTTATAATAAGTAAGAAGTTACTCTTTGTCTACACTAAAATTTTCTAGAAACTAGAAATAATTTATGGCTAAACAACGTTTGCCCGGTTAACTTCAGTATATATATTACATATGGTACACTCAAGGTTTTAGATCTCACTATTTAAAAATAAGCCACGAGGCGGCGCTAAGGTAGATACTTTACTAGCGTATACAAAACTTGTTTATACACAAAGGCGTAACGATCAAATAACTTTATGATTTAGTCTGAAATTCTCAAAACGAACTGTTACTACAATTTTATTATTATCGGCTTATTTATTATCGGCCATAAGTATATGAATTTCCATATTTAATTAGTTTTCCAAAAAGACTGACACATTGTGTCCAAACACAGATTCGCAAACACTAAGTTTGAAATCAATTGACTTTCAGAGACAATTAGAGACTATAAAAAATTTAATTATTTCACATACCTGAATCAAATATCGTAAATCCAAATCAAGTAGATACTGAATTTTAGTTGCACAAGTTCGCAGATTATTGGGTGCATTTGCGTTCCATTGACTATGAACCAGTATTATTGGCAGTAACCGTGGCAGTAACAAACAACTAAACAACAACTAAACATAAACAGTATCATTCGCATTTATCGGTATTACTAGCGCCACCTTGATTTTTTGAAGTGAAAACAAATACACTGCACCAACTTATCATGTTTTAACCTCCGATTAATGCCCCGATTCAACCTGAATCTCCGGACAAACTTGTCGCAACTTGAATTATGGCGTCTATGACGTTTGGTCAAAAAACCTTCACGCCAACGCCTCCGGACAAGGGCAGCTTTCCATTAGATCACGAAGGACTCTGCAAAAAGTTAATGATCAAGTACATGACTTGTTTGCACACTCACGATAACCAGAATTCCGAGTGTCGCAAGGAATCGCAAGACTATCTGGCTTGCCGAATGGAGAATAATTTGATGGCCAAGGAAGATTGGTCCAAATTAGGCTTTTAATATGATTAATATACTAATTTGTTGCACTGGCAGTGTAGCTACAATAAAACTGCCTAGCCTTGTTCAACAACTTTTAAAACTGAGAAATTTAAGGTTGGTTTAACATATTTCATTGCATTACATTGCATTAATCATACATATTTTGTTAGGTGCTAATTATTGCAACAGAACATTCAACCAAATTTTTTGATAAAAATGATATCCCAACTTCTGTTCAAATCTACAAGGACAAGGATGAATGGACTGCATGGAATAAAAGGCTGATCAATTCTACATATTGATCTAGGAAAATGGGCTGATATTTTACTGATTGCACCTTTAGATGCCAATACCTTAGCTAAAATTGCAAATGTATGTATAATATACTGAAAATGTTATCCTAAATAATAAATTTTTGATTATGAAGTTACATGAAATGCGTTTCTAGGGAATATGTGATAATCTTCTTACTAGCACTGTAAGGGCTTGGGATATATCAAAACCTCTTGTGTTTTGCCCCGCAATGAACACCAAAATGTATATTCATCCATTAACTAAGGAACAAATTGAAAAATTATTAAGTTGGGGTTATCATTTAATACCAGTGATTGAGAAGACTTTGGTTTGTGGAGATACTGGAGTAGGAGCAATGGCAGAAGTTGATACAATTGTTTCCAGAGTCAGTGATATTGTAAAACGAAATTAAGTAGTTATTTGTAAAATAAATTTAATAAACTGGGCAGTTTATGTTTTTCCTTAAATAAAGATACTTCTTTTCCCTCTACTTCTGTTTCTACATGACCCAATTGGAAGATATGACAGTTCCAAGATTGATGAACTTAAAAACAAGTTTTAAAAATAATTTACTCTGAAACAAGAATACAAGCATTCTACATACATACAACTAATCCCGCGAAATGTAAAAGTATTTTATCAGCTTAAAATTGATTGAGGTGTCGGCAATATCGTAGTCAAAATTTTACACCAACCAAAGAATAAGAGCATTTGCCAAACTCTCTTATACAATGCCCTAACTTATTTCTTAGATGAAGCAACATGTACAATCATCAATTACTGAATAATATTATTTAAACATGTACATATTTCCTATGTACATATATTTATAATAGAGTAGTTTTTCTGTTGCAAAACATAACATAAAATTCGCTACACATCACAGACTTTTATCTATTTTTTAAGTGAAACAAGTTCTATTGATACTATTTTTAAAATCAATATAAAAGTATACCGTCATCACGTTAAGGGTTTGTTTAGTCTTCAGGTTTGCATCATGTATAAAATAATATAATCTTGACACAAAGAGAGAAGTAATAGATAAAAACTATATCGTCTAGATATGTTACAATTTACAAGATGACTCAGTAAAGGTATACAAACATTATTGGTTACTTCTCAATGCTTAATATGTTTCATGTCCTTCAATTTTAATATATTTAGAAAATGATTTTCAAATCCGTGTGTGTGTGTGTGGATCATTTCTATTTCGCTAATATCTAATCTAATTAAATGGTGTGTAAACGTTTTGCGTTATGTACATTAAATATTTATGTATAGACTAAATAAAAAACATACATTGGTCTAACAAGATTACACTGTGTACGTGAAATTAGTATTTGTATGGATAAATTCCTAATATTTTTTATCAAAATTTATCGTAATTTGTGATCCTCAAATCGTGTGTTTAGTATGTGCAATTAGAGATATGTAACCATAGACACATATATTTCACAAGCTTTGTTTTCTAAACACATAGAATTGTTTGCATGTGAAGCTTGACCGAAGAAGAAACTGATAAATACAAATGATGCCCTTTAATACCAATGATTTAATACAATATTTAAACAAATAACTAAGACCGACGCTTTTGTCGAATAACATATTGTTGACTTGCAATTCAATTTGGATGTTGATTGAATTGGATCCACACTTTGAACTTGGCTATTGGTTATTGGCATGTTTTGGACTTAGGCCAAACGATTAAATTTAGAACTGATTTCAATCCGGGCGTTTCCAGATAAATGCCAAGCGTGCAAAGTGACATGTGAAGATTCCAAATATCGCAAAGCAAATATTCCCAATCCGAATATTATATGTTAGGCACTTGTTTGGCAAGACGATATATCAACACAGCAATTTTCGGCACTCCATAAAGCAAACACCAATTTCATTCAATTAAGTAAGTCCGTCGTGCTCGAGAATCCAAATGTTGGGCGTTGTTGTAACAATGTTTGCTTTCAGTACCAACACTACTATAATTCTTGATTACAAATAACTGCACACTACGCTTCCCTCATAAAATATTTACATATAGTTACATTGATCTAAAAGCTAAACAATATTTTACATCTCTTATATTTAGTTTAGACTTAAGGCGCTAGTTATATTTTCCATTTATCACAATCTGTTTCATAATTTTAGTATAAATTAATAAGTATATAATTTTATTTCTGTTCTACTATGATCTGCTGTGAAAAAGTGTATCATCAGTGCATTCGAAGTTATTGTTGTGTTGCATATGCCGAGTGATCCATCGAATGATCAAAACGTTCACAATAAAAGGAGGACGGGAGTATAAAAGAGTTCCTTCACTGAGGTGCGCCATCGCGGCGGACTACTAACTGTCACGGCTTTTCGCGTGTAGTCGACGGGGCCAAGGGAAGGGCCAGTCCGGCCATTGCCTAGGAACTTGACCACCCACATTGCCCTCAAAGTACAGAAACAAATTGAACCACCACATGCGGCACAGAAGATTTTTCTCCGACGATTGCTGCAAGAGAAACCAACATATTTGATTAAATGCATCACTGATTAAACAACCATTTCGTAGGCAATTACCTTCAGACCACTATTGTTCGCCAACGTATGATAGATCCAGAAAATTCTGGTCGTCACATAGTAAGCGATAATCACATCTATCGTGTAGTGCGATCGAGACCATTGCAACATAAACACGCCAGTGACAGCAACCGCCCAATACAGCCAATGTACCAGATACAATTTTTTAGGAGTATCTATAACCCAGAGATAACAGAAGCATTAATTACTTCCTGCTGAATCACATGCAGACACAAACAAAACACTTACATTCCGAAATAAACAAATAACTTATAACTATCGTCAATGTATGCCCGCTGTAGATGAAGTCGCCGCAATATGTCTGCTTGCCGTTGATGGAGAGCCCCATACCGGACAACATTTGCACGACGCGTTTCGCCATGTCCAGCGTTGTGGTGTGATTGCTTTTCGGCGAACAATAGTACGTCGTGCTGGAGATTGGCAAGACCGTGACGAACATTGTCACCGAGCGATAGATATACAAAAGACTCATGATTAGGAACAGCCGACGTGCAATTATAAATCTGAAAATAACTTTACCGTCAGCATGTTATTTATACTAATGACAACAAAAGTACCTATGTTTGTGCAAAACAATAACAAATAACGTCGAGTTAAAGGCAAATATGATGAGATATTCGGACACAGTGAGGCCCCAATCGTGCACGCCGAAAAGATCGAAGAAAATGTCCGGCAACGGGCCGTAATCTTTGCGGTCCGGGACACGCTCATGCGTGGTCGCCAGCGAGATTAAAACTAATAAACTACTGAAGAACATAATCACCAATGCTGAAATGATACAACAATATGTAATAAAATACATAATGATAGGTAAGTTTAATTTATTTGTACCTATCAACGTTTTCCAACGCTCCTGAGGAAAACGTGGCTCTTCCCACAGGGGTGGGCATGTTGATTTTAATAATGCCATTCTGGTCGGCGTGCGGTTGCAGAGAGAGGTTGTCCTCGTCCTCCTCAACTGTGAACTCATGAATGTCCGGGTGGCCAGCGCTGCCCCATTTGTCCGCCTTCGTCGGCGTCGGCAGCAGCGGCTGGCGCTGGTAGAGATCGCCCTGTGTCATCACTGGCGGCTGCTGGCTGGGTGGATGCTGCGGCTGCGGCAAGGCTGCGTTGCCGTTGACGCCTATCAAATCGTGGACGGCGGTTGCGTTGTCCACTTCGGATTGATCATGCGGTGCTCGATTGACGACTTCACCGATTGAATGTATACTTCCATAATCAGCGAATTTGGGTTCAAGAACCATTCTGCAACACACATACACATCATTATTACTATAATCACTTCACGCGTTGTTTAATACAACAAATATTATTATCGTAAACCTCATTTCTGGTCTCTCAATGGTGAAAGCCGTCATAATTTTCCGGCGCTCGCAGCCACTCTTTTTCAACATCACACCTCGTAAGTACATGGCGGAGGCTATCAACGTTTTGAAAACTTGTTTTTAAATATTCTAATAGATACTGCCAACCTGTCACACCAAGGCTTCGATTCTTATCAATATTTTGCATATTCGTTATTTCGTTGAGGCACCTGCGTAACTGCGCTGTTAATTAGCGCGCGCAGGTTGTAAATTGAACAAAGGCCTCCTACAAGGGACCCACGTTATTTTTATAATTTAATTTAACGATAACTGCAAATGTTGTATGCATTGTAATTAACTAGAGAATGATACCCGAAATTTTACTCGTATAACTGCGGATCGACAATGCGGTGTGCAATCGTTTTGCTAATTTTGCTTCCAAGGTTTTGCCAAAAAACGCATAAAAACTAAACAAAACAAATCATTTAATTATATTCGTTGATTTACTAGGCAAAAAAGTGGGAAGGTGCAGGAATTGCAAATTTGTACGTTTTTCAAATGCGTGACATTCATTATCACATACTGCTGCTTTACTAACTCCACAGGTAGCAAATATCAACTGTAGTTACGAACAGCGTCACATGCCCGATACATACAACTATATAAATTATTTATGTGGTATGTATTGATAATTGACATTGACTACATGGAACGCTTAACGCATAGTTAGCACTTAAACAGAATCACCAATTAGATGATTTCGCAATTTTTGCGCATTTTGCATAAACACACGATCGGTGTTAACTTACATCTCGTCAATGTTACTTAAGTTCCGCAAGTGGCGACTTGAGTAATTCCTTTAAGGTTATGATTGCGCTCATCATGCGCTTTGGAGACCGTTATTGAGATTCTCTTCGGATACCGTTGCAGGGTCGCCACCTCATTCAACAAGTGTTCGTTCTCTCCCTGTCCAACGAGACAGAGTGTATACGTGACGCGTCCGAGATGCGAGAAAACAACACTTTGTACTTGCTGGCGAAATTATTCACCGGACCACCATTGGAACCTGTGACCGTAACATATTTACCGCGCAGATCGCCAACAGTCTAACATCGCCCCCGCACAAATATCACTAGCGCGGCTGATAAGCTAACGCGTTTTCGAAAACTAAGTCACAGGTTGCTTGCAGTGATGAGCACTGGAAGGAATGAGGGCTGAGTACGTTAAAGCGGGACACACATTAAAAAAAAAAGTCTTGATTACTGCTACAGTGAGCTGCGCGCACCGCCGCCGCTGACGCGCAAATGCTGCTTATGTCGCTGCTTACTCACTCGCTTGTGACGAGACGCAGTGAGTGGAAAGAGGCAAATGCGGCTTAAATATGGCGCTATCTCTGTTTGTTACACGACTACGCTTGCTGGTACACTTGGCCGGGCAGCGGCGAACGGTCGAAAGTCGCGCCCAACGGAAACCGTGCGGTTCTGTTTTACTGCGCAAGTTTGTTTTGTTGATACACTTCGCCGAAATTCGCCGTGTTAGATACAAGCCAACATCAAACGTCAGCAACAACGGCAGTCGGCCACT